TTCAATCTGTTCTCCTGCTTCATCTCCAATTTTCACCTGCCTCATCTGTTTACTGCCCCTCTCCCTCACCATCTGTTCTCACGGCTTTCTTTTAAATTGGTCTCATCTTTTTACTGTATTTCCTTTCTACCTCCACTTACAACTCTTCATTCGATGCTTTTAATTTTCCTCTTTCCCCACCTATTTCTTCCATTTTTATTTCTTTCCTGCTCCTTTCTCTCTCTCGTACTGCCTACCTATCTCTACAGGACGGGGCTATTCACCCCCGACCTGGCTTTTGAAGCCATAGTGAAAAAGCAGATCCAAAAGCTGAAGGAGCCCACACTGAAGTGTATAGATATGGTAGTGAGTGAACTCACCTTCACCATACAGAAGTGTAGCCAAAAGGTAAAATTTTAAAGAGCACAAAGCCACTTTCGCTATCTCTGTTAATCTTACAGGTAAGGGTAGACTGATAGCTGGAGATTTCTTTTTACCCATACTTTATATAAAAAGATATATGAGAGACAAACAGTATTTGTATCCCAAAAACACCTTGTATATTATATTTATTGGTTATAAGGAAGAAAATCATTTTTTAATGCAATGACTGGCTAATATTTCAAAAATAGTGCCAATGCTATATTTTATACATGTTAAATAATGTTATATGAAGACTTTGCATAAAAAGCTACGTTGCTGTGCTAAAGTCTTATATCTTTATATGGGAAAAAGGTGCAGCGATTTATTGAAACGTGTACAAACATATGTGGCAATGCAGAGCTCGTACAATACTAATGACGTCAAATGGCTGCATAATTAAATGGTACCCCATGAGCCACATTGTGCTGCTCTGTAAAAGTAGTAGTGCACAAGTCTGATGACTCCAGAGACTCCACTGACTCCACTTTAATCAGCTGTGATAAACATAATCAACAATTACAACGTCTTTGATTAAAAAAAGCATTTTTTAATTAAAAAAAAGACACAAAACCCCCAAATTAGGACATTTTTAAGTGACATAAAATGTTGAGCAGTATTTGTAAACTGACCCACAATAAATAAAGAATGAATGAATTAATGTAAGTTTTGAAACACACTAAACTTTAATCAGCACTTATCAGTCTATCCTTGCTCCGTATGTAACCACGTAACCTTTATTGTAACGAAACTATCGTTATCATTTGTTTTTTTTGTCGGTTATAACCGGTCTTATATTGACAACCAAGCATGTTAGACAACTTTTTGGTTTTCTTCCACAGTATATTTCATGATGTCTAAAAACCATTTGATTTAACCGGATTAAAATCACACCTTTTCTGTCTCTGTCAGTGTGGTTTAATATACCGGAGTGACTGGTTGTGTACTTCCACTCATTGACTAACTGACGTGATTCGAGCGTCTCTTTATTTCTTCTTTCATTTCTCTTTCGTCCTCTCCGTCCCGTCGTCCTGCACAAACCTTTGAATGGCTGCTTCCTCGCTAAGCGACTGACCAGCACAGAGTAGCAGTGCCGCCTCCTTTGGATTTCTCTTCACTGTCACGCTTTTGCAGTTATTTCACTGTATCAAAAAGATACTGTAATATAATACCCAGTGTTTGGGAAAATCCACAAAGGGGGTCAGTTTGAAGTCTTCCCACACCTCCCCGTCCTCCACCCTCCACCCTTTCCCTGCTTCTTTGCATTGCATGCCAGCCCGAATCTCTTCTCTCCACTGTTCTTTTTTCAGTGTCAGTTCTGAAGTCACTGACCGCAGCAGCAGATTTTGACAGATCGTGTCTGTCGTCAAGTTGCGTTGCATCTTTCTACCTGCATAAATTATCTGCTTCCATATGGCACACGTAACTTTTCGCATGAAATGCTTCTCGTCAAAACAGTCTCCCTTCGTAACGGCACAGTGATGCCGTTGTTAGTAGTGTGTGCCTTCTAAATAAAATCAACATTCTGATTGGGAAATATGCTTCAGATTTGCATCCTCGGTCCTCTAAAACTTTAAATATGCAGTGTATGCTGTGTGATGTTGAAAAGCCTCATTATTATTGGCAGTAGGACCTGAAAAAGTCACTTATTTAATTCAAATACTGGCAAAAATTATTTAAAATGTTTCTTCTTTATTGGTGTCATCTGCTCTGTCAGTGGATCAGACCTGGAAGGCGCTAAATAAGCTCCCAAACAACGAAAGAGGCCAATCGGTACCTACTCACTAACCCTCCAAAGATGCACTGTAACTTGTACGAAAGCCTTTCTTTCTCGCGCTGCGATTATTTGATTTTTTTTGCTTTTCTCTCTTTCCTCACACTTCTCCAAATGTGTTTGTGTCACATTGGAGACCCACCAGCGTCTGCGTTCGTGGGTTTTTGCAATGAGCTCATGGAAAAAGACCCACAGTGTGCTGGGAAAAAGAAAGCTTTTTCTGCCAGGAACATTGTTTATTCTGTGTTTGTGGTGAAAAAGAAGAAAAATCACAGACTTTGCTCTATTCTCTTGCATTTGTTACACGGTGGGAACGAATACACATTTGGCACGTATTATTTAATCTAACACAAGTCAACACCCACTCAGGGTGAGCAGTGACTAGAGCTGAGTCTGCAATAAACCCAGACCCCCTCAAACATACCGTGTTTAATTGTGTTTCTGTAACGTATTTTGTTGTGTTGTGGAACTGTGTGCTGTGGTTCTGTGAGATCTTTTTTTTAAAAATTTATTTACTGAATCTTGTACATTGACGTGTGACAGTGTGTGCATGTGTTGGGATCTGTGTTTGTTTTTTGGGCTACTTACCTGCCGTTTTCTGTGCTCACAGCTGGCTCAGTACCCCATGATGAGAGAGGAGATGGAGAGAATTGTCACTCAGCACATCAGAGACAGAGAAAGCCGTACTAAAGGACAGGTAAAGCAGACAAACAGTGTGTACGGTGTAAAGTGTGTGGGGGGGTTGTGATGGTGTGGAATGGGGTACGTTTGTGTAAAACAATGATATGGATGAATTGTTTTGTCATGTTTTAAATCAGCGTGCATCCTGGTGTGTGCTGGAATTTGTCATTGTTCTATATAATAACCGCATCAGGATGTCTTAGTAAGGAAAGTGCTTTGTTGTCTCTTAAAGTTGTGATATTTTGCTTGAAGGCGGGCTGTGAGATCTTTTTACTGGTCTGTTTTCAACTAGTGGTCCATTATCTCAAAATTTCCATGTCTGCAAACCATTTTCAGTTACAAGCTGCTCCTATTTAGGGCTTTAATCTTATTTCATATTCATTTTTTTTATGGAGAATATAATAATTTGTAGTGTAGAAAGTATTTCTGCAAAGAAGCAGGGGCTTTTAACAGTTCGTTCTTACTCACTTCCCTGCTGAAATAGTTTTTCTTAAAGTATATCAGTTTAATTTGACTTATTGACCAATCACAGTGCTTAAGACTATAAGTCACATTTAACCATAAATTCATACAGCACTTTATTCTAAACACTTCAAGCACTTTGCCTAAGTGACATACGCCCAATATACACCCGCCAGCCACTTTATTAGTTGCACCTTGCTCGTACTGTTCTAGACCCTGTTTTACATCAGAACTGCCTTTATTGTGTGTAGCAGAGATTTACTAACATGCTGGAAACACTCTTCTGAGATTTTGGTCCATTTTGATATGCTAGTATTACACAGATGCTGCAGGTTTGTCAGCTGCATATCCATAATCCCTGCTCTGTGCTCTGTGGTCATAAAGGGATCGACATAGTCACCAACAGTGCTCATAGTTTCTATGATGTATATATGATGTATATATAATGATCAGTGGCAGCCGATGTGGTCTACTGCTGAAGCCTATCTGCTTCAAGGTTTGATATGTTGTGCATTAAGAGATGCTCTTCTGCATACCTCGGTTGCTTTCCTATCAGCTTGAAGCAGTTTGACCAATGTCCTCTGACCTCGAGAACCAGCAAGGCATTTTTAGCCAGAGAATTGCTGCTCATTTTCTCTTTTTTGAACCATTCTCCATAAAACCCTAGAGATGGTTGTGTGGGAAAATCCCAGCAGATCAGCAGTTTTTGAAATACTCAGACCGGCCCATCTGGCATCAACCATGCCAGACTCAGAATAACTTCAATCACCTTTCTTTCTTATTCTGATGCTCATTTTGAACGTGAATAGGTCTTGACCATGATTGAATTAAATGAAAGGGTGTACCTAATGCAGTGGCTTTTGAGTGAGTTGACGTAACACGTATGTCTTTGGGCAGAAGCCAGAGCACTCTAATGAAGCCCATGTAGGAACAGGAAGAACATGGAAACTTCCCATCTGGGTTTTGAATCGGGAACTTCATGCTGTGAGGTGACAGTGTAACCTCTGTGCTGCCTCGTTCCCCTATAATTTTCACTGAATGCTATGACCTTTCCAAACATTTCCGTGTAAATGCACACACACACACACACACACACACACACACACACGCACACACACACACACACACACAGACACACACACTGTTACGAGAAAGAAGTTTAAAAAAGGCAAACTCCAAGAAACCAGTTTTGTGATGTTGCATTGCTCTGTGTGTATAGTGATCATAAAGATTATTCAGATTCAATGATACATAGAAAGTACCTCAGATTTAATTCATTGAGTGCGGCTGAATTAAAAAATGAAAGCTGGGGGTCAGGGCTCCAAAATATGATATATAAGTATAAAACTGACTGTTTTACTCTCTCTGTTCAGGTGTTGCTGTTGATAGACATTGAGCTGTCCTATATGAACACTAACCATGAGGACTTCATCGGATTTGCCAAGTAAGTTTAGAAATCTGCTGCCGCTACAGTGGAAAGTCTTTACTACTTAAGGTCAAAGTACAGTATCGCATGTCTTGTTGTGCAGTGCCCAGCAGAGGATCAACCAGATGAGCAAGAAGAAAGCAGCCGGCAATCAGGTACTCCGATCACTAACAGGCAGACACGCTGTCTGTATTCTTGCTTAATAGTGCAGAGCTGTGCTGTTCACTCCAGGCCTCTTTCAGCTGCTGCAACACGATGATTCCACTCCTCCAAATATGTTTTGTCTGTTGGCAAGCAACGTGCCAGCTGAACTTTATGAAGTTTTACCCTAAGGCTTAGCTCTGTTAGCACTCAGCTCTTGTGTTTTCGCTCATGGTAAATGTTGCACAGCTATACGGTCTATGGTTACAGTGGGCAACAGCCCATTGGTTATACAATGCCACAACCCTGTGCTGCTCTTGTACACATTACACAATAATGGACAACACTTGTGTGGTCACGAAACAGCTTGTCCTTTTGGTGAAAAACCATGATAGCTCCTGCGGTTTAAAGCTTTAAAGACAACAACAGTTATTATCTTGCCACCCAATAGAAAGCCTTCTAATTAAAAAGAACAACACAGTACAGTAACCGAATATTTAAGTGTAATGGCTACATATTTATGGTTCAGTAACAGCTTTTGGATGACGTTGCTTTTTGAAAGTGTTTTGAAGCGCTTCCTGTGCATTCTTCTTCTACTTTTAGCATATTTTTATTTTACTCTCTTTTTCTTCTTCTTCTTCTCAGCTCTATATGTTTTAGTATCTGTCATTTTGTTGCCTTGAGTTTCCTCTGAGTGTTTCCTTCTTTGCTCTCTTTCGTCCCTTCCTCCTTCTCTCTGTGGCTTTTACACTTCAGGATGAAATCATGGTGAGTAGTGTGGGGTGTGTGATTCTGTGCATATCTGCAGGTGAGCATTTGTATGTATGAGCTCATATCCATACACGTTACATATATCAGGATTTATGTGTTTATAAATGTTTAAACTTGTATGTCTTTTATGTATTTTAGGCTGTAATTAATAGTGGATACATGAGTGTGTGTGTGTGTGTGTGTGTGTGTGTGTGTGTGTGTGTG